ATTGAGCAACAACGAAAATGTCGGCAGGTTTTGCAACCCGCTTTGATTCCATACGCACATCCATTGCACGTTGAAAATGGACATTACACATCCGTCGTGCATGCAAATTGCTACTCTCTCTCAGAAGGGCTCCGTTGTGATGAGGATTGCATTCACCACCTTCCGCTAGTAGACCAGCCGCGCGAACTCCAGGTCGACCACTGCCAGCTGCTCCAGTCCTGACTGCTCCAGTCCTGACTGCCCCAATCTCTCCAGCTTCGGCTTCTGGCAGCGGAGCTGGAGGCGGGCTGAGCAGCTTGCACAGGTCCGCGGGCGCGGTCCTCGGCGCTTTGCCTTTGGCTGCGCCGTGCGAGCTTCTTCGCATCGTCCTCCGCCTGGCCGCAAATCTCCTTGACTTCAGCTTCGAGGTCCACGGCTCCGGTTGCCCGGAGCGTAGGGAACTTCGCGCCAAAGGTGACGAGATTGCGCATCCCCGGGAGGATGTTGACCTGGTCGACGAATTGATGAAGACTCAGCATTTTCCCGTTGTACGAGAATAGCCATGGAAACTCAAGCAGGCTGGCGTCATAGTCCCCGACCTTGCCGCCGGTGACGTAGACGGTCCTCACATATTGGAGACCTCGTTTTCCATAGCGTGGCCCAACCCCGAGAAGTCGTTGATCATAACTCCGTGGAAATTCGGGGAGGACACAAAACCTATAGATAGACATCTGGTAGAGGCTGTCGCGGTTGTGCCCTTGCTCCACCATGCGAAGGGCGAAGGTCGCGTCTTTGTCAAACCGATCCACCACATTGTCGTATCCAAGCTTGCGGGCCCTGCTGTCGTAGTTCTTCGAAGCCTCGATCTGCTTGGCTTCAAAGGATGTTGCTCCTCTCTTTGCAACATCAGCATAGCCCTTGAAATCATTGATGAGGAGCTGGTCAACCGTCTTGCCGACGCGGTGGCTCACCTCCTCAAGCATCTGCGTTCTCCGCTTTGCGGCTCTGAAGAGCTGAACGTCGTTGTTCTCCTTGGTGCTCCGTCCACAGCGCTGACACTTGAGCTGCCCCTGCATCATGTCCTCGCCGCAGAGGCTGCAGTCCGTGTAGTGGACGGGCATCGCAAAGGTCTTGAAACGGACAACTGAGGTGTCGGCCGCGGGTTGCCCCGGGCAAGAAGCGGCCGTATCCTCATTTGTCTGCTCTTCTTCAGGATTTGTGGCCCTGTTCCCCTCCGCATCGGTCTGAAAGGCCTCGTCTGCAGTCACAGTGACGGCTCGCCTTGCGGCGAGCATATCGACAGTCGTTTGATTCTCCAATGCCTCAAGACGAAGGGCGTTCCTCCAAAGCACTTCTCCGGTCTTCGCGTCTGTGTAGTACAGAATGGAGTCATTGGGAACGATGTCGTTGGTCAGCATGACATCAGACTCGGAAAGGAAAAACACCACTCCGAGCTCAATCGCATACTTGAAGTCGATCACAAGCTCAATGGGCATCGTTGCTCGGACTCCAGCATTATACGATGAGCTCTCTACCGGGTGGATGGAAAAATGGCTTTGCGAGCGGCCACTCTCCGTGGCACCAACGCCACCCGGGACCAAACCTGTCCTGACGATGTTCTCGGCTGCGTTCTTGCTCGTGCGATGGTATAGTTTGCCAGGGCCATCATCAACCGGTGAAAGTTGCAGTCCAACCTTGCGAGCGTCCTCCGGGAGAAACTTCCCATAGACGGCCTTCGCAAGTGCATACTGGTTCCGGCTGATGTCGCCATCAGCATCAACGCTGCTGGCGTGTCCCTGACTGGCACGAACCTTGATGACAACCCACTCCTGGTTGTTCTCGGCAGCCGAAGGGTGCTTGATCGCGAGGACGGTGTATCTGCATTTCGGATCGAGTGCAAAAATCTTCAACAGCGTTTTGTACCCGATATTGCTGCGGGTCTTTCTGTTGAATTTGTCACATAGCTGATGGACGTCGACAAAATAGTTCTCATCGAAATCGAGTGGCCTCTGTTCTTGAAACCTGCCACGAAGCATACCAGATATGGTTGTGCACCGATCGGTAGAGGACGTTTCTCCCTTCATGAAGTTGGGCACCTTCAGGATCGTGCCCGGGAGAATCCTCGCCTCATACTCCTGGCCGCGGAAGATGACGGTTCCGCCGGGCTTGCCTGGCAATGCGCTTCCGGCAGGGGTTGCCCCCCGCACATCCGACGCCACCGCAGCAGTTGATGGTTTCGCCTGTACCTTAGGCGATGGTTTCGCCTGTACCTTAGGCGATGCTTTCGCGGTGAACTTGGGTGTAGCCGGAGCGGCCTTGACGCCAAGCGCAGCCTCAGCGGCACTCCCTTGCGGGAGTGCATCATCGTCATCATAGTCGATCTCCTCCTTGATTTCGACTTCCTCGATCTTTTCGAGGATGCGGCCCTTCGCGAGCTTGATCGGACGTTGAAGGCTTTCCCATGACTCAAGAGTGAGCTTCCTGTTCGCCTCATACTCGGCCAAAGTGTTGGGGTTGAGTCCAGCTTCGGCGTCATGAGAATATTCAAGGTACAACCTGACGTTGTTGAAATCTTCTTTGTGGGACTCAACGACAGCGACACACTTCATGACGTTGTACAACGACCACAGCCACTCCACCGTCGTCTTCCGGTTCTCGATGGAGTCCATCATGTGATAGTTGTCAAGCCGGTCCTGACGAGATACCAAGAACGTCGACTCCTTCTTGCGAAGGAGCTTGTGCTTGTTGAGCGACTCATCCAACAACTTTTCCATGAACTGGTTGTAGATGGGCGGAAGCATATAGTACGAACCCTCGGTGTTGGCCAAGATCGTGATGTTTGCAATGCTCCACCAACTCCTGCACTCCTCAAGCACATCGATCGCCTTGGCGCACTTGTTGAACAGCTCGGGCCAGTGACCGTCTCCGCAACGATATGGCCATTCGGGCTCATCGCAGATCCCACCACTGCCAACGAGCTCGTTCCCGGACCAGTACACCGTCACGTAGAAGTCGTGGTCCTTAAACTCAGGGCGCTTCTTCAAGTCCTTCATGGCGCTCTTCACTGTCCACGTGAGAAATGTGAGATCCTTTCCCCAACACATTCTCACCTCACAGTGGCTACAACCAGTGCTGCGGTTGTAGTTCATGTCCTGCGCCAAATCCGCCCTCTTGCGGTTCTTCTTGCCACCGCTGATGAGGGCGAGGCTGGAGTCACTCACAACAAGGTATACGCTATTCCGGCCACAGGTTGCCCCGGGCGTGATGCGGCCAAGACCTTTGTCGTTAACGGCGCAGAGCGTATCCATGAGCTCCGGCGCGTAGTCAGCCGCCCACATAGCGCATGAACTCTGAAGGGTGGCCTGTGCTCCGAGGATCTGCTCCATTGTCTTGCGATCCTCAGGCCTCGTCTCCTGGAACAAGGTGTTCGACGTGAAGCTCGTCATCACACCTCGCCAGTACTCCAAGTTGCCCTGCTCATACTCCCCGAGATTGTAAGCAGCCATTGCGGCTACCGGTGAGGGAAGCTTAAGAGCAACAAGTGCACGTTTTGTTGGTCTCTGAGCCGAGCTATCGGTGACAACCTGTTTCATGCTGTCAGCAAACTCAGAAAAACATCCATGGATCAGGTCAGTCATTTCATACGTGTAAGATTCAGCACGTTTGAGGGCCGCCCCCCTGGACTGTCCATGCTGATGATCCTTTGTGCACTTATACCGTTGCAGTTTGGCCAACGATTGACAGGAAGAAGCAATAGTCCATGACTTCTGCAACAAATTTCCATCCTTGTCAAGGACACCAAACATGCAACCATCGCAATTGTACTTGACCATCTCATATTTCATAAGGAAATCATGCACGAAATAGTTCTTCCAATAACTGCAAAGCTTAGGAAGTTCCATGTTGATCACAAGCACAATGTCAAGCTGTCGAAGCATAGTGATAAGTTTGTCCAAACGCTTCAGCAGTTTGCGAAACAACGCCTTGTGCTCCTGGATCTTGGCTTGACCTTCTTGAGTCTGACCATTGATATTGTTCCAGGGGCACCCACCCGTACACGGAAGTGAAGCATGAAGCATCACACAGGGCGGTGTTTTGGACTTGACGTTCTTCCTGAAAAGTTGCACCTCGTCAAATACCCATTTCAATGTATCAGCAACCAACGCATTCTGACGTTCAGTTACTCTAAGCACCTTGCAACCAAATGCTGGTGATCTTGATTTGTCACCGAGCTTGGAATCATCAGAACAGCAAAATTCGCACAAAAACCGATCATAGGTTTCATGCGTGGAAACGGCGGAAGCTTGCGCCTCGCTAGTGGGGGCTGGTTTGATTGTAATGTTT